AAAAATTATATTTATTATATTTTTAATTTGTATATTTAAAATACCAATTAAATAAATATTATATTAATTTTCAAAGTTGGACGGGAGGCAGTTCTTTTTTACCATAAAGTAAAATAAATAAAATTTAAGCAAACCTTTTCAATCCAACAACTCATGTCTTAGTGGTGGAAGTAATTGAAAGGTTTTTTAAAGTCTTGTGTTCGAGCCTTGAAAGGTACAGAGTTAAGGAAAATTTTTCAAAAACTCGGTCCAGTTGAATGGTTTGATGGTTTACACCGCTTTGAGCCGTTCTGTTGATGTTCTAAACATTTGTATGATTCATTTATGTTACCAAGTGTCGGTTTGACCAACTTATCCAATGATCTAAATAAGAAGAGGGGGGGTAGTTGGGATGATATTATGGATATGGTGACACGTAAGGGGTTGGATCCATAGGGAAGTTGCATGTGATGGAGTTAATATTTCAGTCCTTTGGTTCTTCTTCTTGATATCTGAATCAATTTGGAAGATTGAGGAAGAAAGAAATCCAAACATGTTGCTTTCAAAGTCTATCTTTTTCTAAATTTTCTTCGGAAAATGAAAATGATCTACATGGACTCTAGTGCAAATATTTGAGTATAAGCGTGCAATGCGAAACTGAAACTGTAAATTTCTTTCTAGGAAGATTTCTATGTAACTATGTACATGAAATTGATAGGATTTTGTTTATGTACAGATATTTAAATATAGACTCTTTGCAATTGACAACAAGGTCCAGTGTATTAATTTGAAGCACCATTTATTTCTCTATTGGAAATTCAATTGCTGAATGGTTGGTTTTCATTATCATTTACAAGTCCAGCCTTGCTGCATGTTAGAGGATTGGTAGCTGACCTTAGCCCAACCATGAGGGTTGAAATACTGGATCCTCATCAATGTTTGATACTGCTAGTCTGCTAAGTTGTTTTGTTTGCATGTTTGGCATTTGGAATTTCCTAATGGTTTAAGCACAAGAATTCGAAGGTCGGAGGTTTTAATACAAACATTGCAATGAGGTGGGATGTCAATGAGAAATAAAAGGGTTATTCCTTATTATATAGATGGTATTTGGAGGGTATCACTTGTAATATAACTTGTAATCAGTTAGAAACAGGAAAGAAGCCACTAGGGTTGATTGCATACATAATTCTCACTAAATTAATTATGAAAAGGGTTTTCATTTGTAGTTGACGATGTAGATGAAAACTTAAGTGAAAATGAACATAAACTCAAGGGTTCAGCTTGAAAATGAAGTACATGAACTGAGTTATGATATTACTCAGCAAACCAGCATTGAACATACATCCAGATCCTAAGAAAAAGCAGAAACTACAACCTTTTCTTCCTTTACATCCAGTTTCTCGCTTTTCAAACAACCCTTTCTTCTTGGACAAGGCAGTCGCTAAAATAAAGAGAAGTTAAGAAACTACAATACAAACTGCGTAACACCACTAACATGGTTTGCAAAATACATAGAAGACATAACTGCTAAGAAAGTAACTTAAAAGACTTCATCTCAAAACTAATAGAAGTTTATAGCCTTAAACAACAAGAGGGATTTACATCCACAAATCCACGAATCATTGCCTATTGAATTACCTAGCAAGAGGAGTGATTTCAAATGAATTAGCGAATATCTGGTTCTCTGTTGTTTGAGTTTCTTTGGAACCCATTTCTAAATCCAAACACTCCTTAAGTTCTGATAGTACACGACTCATGTCCGGCCTCTTGATTCCAATTGGCAACACACATGACATTGCTATCTCCACTACTTTCCAGGCTGCATTGATGTTGAATTCACCTTGTAACCTTGGATCAATGATCCTTCGAATATCCCCTCTTTCAATCAAAGGATTAATCCACTCAATTATGTGAATGCACTCTTCACCTCTTGTTATAACAGGTTGACCACAAACCAGCTCTAGGAGAACTATTCCAAAGCTATAGACATCACTTTTCTTGTTAATGACTCCCGATGAGTGAAATCTGTAAGGAAAACAGAGAAGCAATTATATCGATGAGATGTTGAAGAAGTGTTACTAATCATGTTTTAGATTTAAGACTCACTCAGGGTCTAGGTATCCAGGTGTTCCTGCAGGGCAAGTTGATATATGGGAAGCAAATTCTGTTGAAAAAGCTCTAGATAATCCAAAGTCAGCTATCTTGGCTTGCATGTTTTCAGTCAATAAGATGTTGGAGGTTTTCAAATCTCTATGGACTATCGGTGGCCTACAACCATTATGCAGATACTCCAATCCTGTAGTTATGACACTACAAAAAAGTTAATTAAGCTACTTTAGGCAAAGAGGAAACATTGAACTGGGAAATTCTAGTAGAGTATGGACCATGTGCAGCATCTACAGAAATTTGAAGTCTTTCAATCCAGCTCAAAATGTTTTGGTTTCCATCTGCAGGAAAAAAAAAGAGTCAAAATAGCATTTTACCAGTTCAGCTTGTCAAGCGCAGTAAATTGGTCAGGGATTGTTTAGTACAACATGGCTTATACCTGATAAATGCTGTCTTAAGTTTCCATTAGCCATGTATTCATAGACCAAAGCTTTGTTGTCATCTTCATCGCAGTATCCCACCAGAGAAACCAGGTTCTTATGATGAACTATCATTAACAACTGCGCCTGCATTTTGTTGGTTTTTTCAAAATGAAGTGGAGAGAAAATCGAGAAGAAGATGGAGAGCAGAACCGAAAGTGGAGAGGAGTATAACACTCCAACTCAGATATTCTCATTAACAATCTTTGCTATATATGGCAGAAAACAAACCTAAAAACAATTCAAAAAGTTTCTTATTTTTACATTAAAAAGCAACAATAAAAGTACATCTAAAACAAGTAAAAGACAGCCCTTTTACTGCACATATACTTCCTCTCATTTAGCTGACCAATTTGCAGCCCTACATTTCATTTGCATTGCTTCTGCATTTGAATTTCATTTGCTTCTGCAATATTGCAGCTTAGCTGGCTGCACATTTTTGTTGTCATCTTACAGTTTCATTTCCATCATATCTGCAGCTAAATTGCTGTCAAATTGCAGCTTCATTCGCTGTCAATTTTCAGCCTCATTGCTGCCATTTCATGGCAGTTTCATTTCATCATTTTGCAGGTTTGAATGCCACGTTTCTAATAATATTTCCAACACATTTGAAGATAATGCTTTGTCAAAGTAAAATTCATTTGGTATCTTGTCGTTTGTTATAAGAGTATTAAGAAAAATGGTTGCAGTAATCCAACCTCTGCTCGGAATTCCTTATAGCCTTGCTTTGATGATGATGATAGAACCTTAACAGCAACGTGAGTGCCATCATTCAAGGTGCCAAGGTAAACTTTTCCAAATCCTCCTTCCCCAATAACCATTGTGAAATTTGAAGTTATGTTAGCAATCTGGGAGTAAGTAAAGGTTCTATTCTTTGATT